GAAAGAGTCTGTAAAACGTTATTTGGGACACAGGTGTTGAAGATATGGCCCATGGAGCCCTGTGATTCAGCCCATGGGCCTCAAGCTGAACCAGTGCGCCAGGGTGCACACTCCACATGATGCCCATGTCAGACTGGCACTGCACAGGCACTGCATGCAGTGGGCACCCCGTGCCAGCCCCACATGCTGCGTGCAGTGTGAACCCCATGCTGCGGCTGACATGTGCTGCATACAGTGTGCAGGGGGCCAATCTGGCCCACAAACTGGCCCCACATAGAGCTAACGCACGGGTCCAGTCCAGTGTGGGCACCTCACAGAGCGCATGCTTCATGCACGGGACCCAGACCAGGGCTGGCGCATGCTGCACACAGGGCCGATCCAGGGCATGCAGTGCACACCAGACTGGCTCTGGTGTGTGGGGCCAGTCTAGCCCACACTCGTTATCCAGCCTACGGAGCCAGATGAGTTTGACACCCCTGATTTAGAACAAAGGAAAAGACATAGTTGACTACAAAACAATATGGGTTAATCTTTGTCACGTGCTCTGACTTGCTCAGATGCTAAGGCAGGCTAGGGAGGTAGAGCAAAGACAGGATCACCACCACTGCACGAGTCGCTATTAACCAGTAGATTCCTGAGTGCAACCTGACACGATTAAGCAGCGAATTTTACAAAACACTCTTCCCTACTCAGGCTTTTCCTGTGCCCCCGATATTTAAATCACCTAGAACAGGCTGGTCGTCGTCCCCCCCCGTCATTCCTACACACTTAGGCTCAGACTGAGACACTTGAGTCACAAGAAGCCCTGCAACTTCTCACCTATCGCTCTTCACAGAAAACATGATTTATTTATGTGTTTTACCGCATGTATTGGACAGATCTTTGCTGCAGCCATGAATTATACAGCATGTACTATCCAGCGCCATCCATCATTAACTAAAAACATTGACTTTTTTCTTTTAAACAGGACTGGTTTTGACACCTTCAGGTGCCTGCACCGCTGCGGCTCTTTGCCTGATTTCGAGCATCGCTGCCCCAGCGCAGACCTAGCCCGATTAGGTTCCCCGGTACGTCCAGAAAAGGGTCTCTAATAAGAATGCAAAATGCTGATTTTATGCTAACTGTTAACGTGAATCACGTAACAAAAGGTCAGCTGCACCTTGGAGCTAAACCCCGGCAAGCGCAGGCGGGGGCCGCACGCGGGGAGAAGCACAGCGAGGGCAGGAGAACGGGGGGGATCGCTATCCTACAACGCCGGCTCTTCGGGACCTCCTTCTCCCATCTCCGACGCGCGCGCAGCCGCAACGGCCGCTGTCCGTTTCGACGACCGGGCCAGGCAGGTGCGACGCCTCCGTCGCGTTTGCGGACGGGGCATCGAGTCGTTCGACGCGCCGCCGCCTCTGGGGAGCTTTGAACGCCGCGGTCGTGCGTCAAGTCCCCGCGGCTCCGACGGAGACGACTCGGAGCTGCCGCAGGGATCCGAGCCAGGGGCCTTCGACGCTGGGTCTCTCTCAGGCTGCGTATTTGGGCTCCCGAGGACGGCAACGACCCCCCCCGCGGGGGAGCGACGCCCCCAGCGCCCTCGGCACTTGGCAGGCAAAACCAGACGCCCCCCAACTCCAGCCGGAGCGACCCCCCCACTCGTATGTGAAGCGAGGTGC